ATATATGTACCCCGATGTTCATAGCAGCACAGTTTACAGTAGCTAAGATCTGGAAACAGCCCAAGTGCCCATCCGTAGATGAGTGGGTAAAAAGCTGTGGGGCATTCACACCGTGGAATACTACGCAGCTGTAAAGAAGGATCTCGTACACTTTGGGACAGTACGGATGGACCTGGAGAACATTATGCTGAGTGAAATAAGCCAGGCAGCGAAAGACAAACATCACATGATCTCTCTTATATGTGGAATCCAAAGAACTTAATAAACTGATGAACAGAATAGATTCAATGACATGGAAGCATAGATGAGACTGAGGAATGTCAGAGGGATGGAGGAAGGCGGGTGGGTGGAGGGGGAGAGAGTAACCAAAGAATTTATATGCAGATATGCACAACCCAAGGACACGGACAATGGTGGGGAGAGGGACTGGGGAGGGGGAGGGGACAGGATAGAGCAGGTCATTGGGGAGAAAAAGGGGCATCTGTAATATTTTAAACAAAAATAAAACTTAAAAAAAAAAATTAAAAAAAATAAATAAAAAATAAAAATAAAAGAAGTACTGCCTTCAAGGAACTTCTTTAAAAGGAAAACAAGCTGGCTGGTGTTGCTCAGTGGTTGAGCATCAACCCATGAACCAGGAGATCGTGGTTTGACTCCAGGGCAGGGCACATGCCCAGGTTTTGGGCTCGATCCCCAGTAGGGGGCGTGCAGGAGGCAGCCCATCAATGACTCCCTCATCACTGATGCTTCTCTATCTCCCCCTCTCTTTGAAATCGATAAAAACATATTAAAATTTAAAAAAAAAAAATTTTCTAAAAAAAAAAAGGAAAGGAAAACAAAAGGAGCCTGGCTGAGACTCGATCGAAGCAGCACCCCCATCTAGAGGACTGCAGACCTGCGCGCATGGTCACCGCACTGCTGCTCCTCTACTCTTCCGTACTTTCTGGTTTTTAAAATGAGCCATCACATTTATAAGCAGAAAAATAAAATTTGAAAGGTCAGGAAAGTGTCTCATACAGCTTAGAAGTATTTTCATTAGGACAACTTTAAAATGTCAGTTAAGAAAAGCCTAATTGCCTGGCAAACGGCTACCCCGAGTGACTCGTTCCCGCACGGGCGCTGCGCGCTTTCGGGGAGGATGGTGCCAAGGCCGCAGGTTCAGAGCGTCGCGGGAAGACCCACGAAGCCACGTCATTTACTTACCAACTCTGGACCAGTCCCACCGAAGGCCGGTTCAGCAAATTATCCGGCAGAAGGTTAACTTCTCTCATGGTGTTGGCCAGGCGCACGGGAAGCTCCTTCCGCAGAAACATGTAGGACGTTTTCTCACACGCATTGTCTCTCCCTATCCAGAGATGAAAAACGAATACATTGAAAAATTGACAATCTGACAGATGGAACAATAAATGCTCCCATGGCAGCAGTTACTGGTAGGGAAGAGAAAATTAAGTAATCCTGCAACCTCTAGTTAAATTTTTATCCTCTGAAGTAGCAAATTTAAGAAAATAATTTAATCAGGATAGCAAAAGAACATTTATTCCCAGAGGCCACCTTGGAAGCAGTTTTTTTCCTTAACACAAATCCGTCCCTAGTGTTGCCAGTGGCAATCTAAAAGTGACCTGAGATATCATCGGAATTTGTTTTCCCATAAACACTGTGGGAAAACTGCCAAGTACAAAAGTAAGAGAACGTATAAATCGACTCCTGTTCAGAGGGGGTTCCAGAAGGCAACAGATCCATTCATTCCACAAATATTCACCTGCTATGTGCTGCGTTTACCACTCTGCCACTCAGGGAAGGAGTCACAGACCCCATCTCTGACTGAGACATAGGACTTGGGATGTGTCAAGGAAACCAGGTCACAGGTGCTCTCAGAAGCAGAGTGATTCACCAAGGCATGTCTGAGAGGGCAGGACACTGTGTTGACTCTAAAGACCGAGGTCACGCCCTGGCCGGGGTCGCTCAGCGGCTAAAGCGTCAGCCTGCACACTAAAGGGCCACGGGTTCAATTCCCAGGCAAGGGCACGTAGCTGGGTTGCAGGTTTCATCCCCGGCCAGGTCAGGGCATGTTCAGGAGGCAACCAGTCGATGTGTCTCTCACATCAGTGTTTCTCTCTCTCTCTCTCTCTCTCTCCCTCCCCC